AATGCAATACGTCGATCAAGATCTTCCTTAGTATGATCTACATAAAATTAAATCTAATGATTTTGTAAATCATTTTTTTAGGGCAAATTTTCAACGCTGACAGCATGATTCATATTGGAATTCTAATTGATATTTAAATGAATATGTTATCTGTTTCATGTTTACCATACATTTATTATATTCACTTTTTAGACGAGACTTAAGAGTATTATATTTATCTTTTAGATGTTTACGTTTCTCAACAACCTAAGTCTCAATAGTTTTCTTAATATTATTCTCCTTTTATTTTAGCAAAACCTCACGCTCATTCAACTGCTTCTTAAATCCATCTAGTCAGAACAATGTGCTAGAACTAACAGAGGCAGTATTTGCTTCAATCTTAATTTTCTGACGATTTTTTTATTATAGTATTATTAACTTCTTTAGTAAGCAACTCCTTAATGTCCAAATAGATACCCTAATCTGCTCCTCATATAATAGTTTATTTTTGCAGATTGTAAGACGCAACTATGCATTTTTTTTCATGAATGGGGTAATTAGTTAAGCAAACTCTTATAATATTTATTAAAATGTGATTGGCTAAACATATGTTCGATTATGCTTTAGTACCTTTGGTAAGGTAAGTAATATAGTCTTAAAAGACTGATTTATCAGCCGGAAAATTTCTGAAAAAAAATATTCTATGAATTCTAAGAATTCCATATTATCCCAGAAGTTTAGGTATTCCATTTATTTCTAACAAAACTTTCTGGCTAGAATTGACTAAAAAAATTTTCTGAAACCTAGATTCTGAGAAAAAATACCAGAAAAATGCTAAGAAATTTATGTTACTTCAGTTCCCTGCCAGTTTCATGTCAGTTCTATAATACTACCCTGGTACTATCATAGTGTTAAGTAATTTCTAGATCATAGGATGATCAGCTAATTTTATTCTGATATTTTCATAATAGCAAAAGCTTTTTCTATCTCCTATACTTACGCCTTTATTTTGCTAATCTTCTAGCACAGTTGATTATTTTTCTTAATTCGTTTCTCATGATTCCTAGTTAGATTTTACATAAATTAGCCAAAGGTTTCATTATTATATTTAAGTAGAGTAATAAGTTCATATTTAGCCTGATCATAAATTTTTACCCTATGATCACATGATTTATTTTCTGTTTGAGATCTATTATCAGGTGCCAGTATTCTGGCCAACTTTGAGAACATGATTTTTTCTGATCCATAGTTTTGTGACTCCAGTCTAATGATTTCTGGTAAATTTCTGATATATGGTGCAAATAATCCTCTATCTGCTTATTTTTCTTAGAAATCTAGTCTATTCTTCAGTTATAGATTTCAGAAAATATAGATCATCCTTTTTTTTTGAATTTATAAGAAAAAAAGTTTATCAATAATGCATTAATAATCAGAATGAAACATATTTTCAGTTATTTCGCATACTCAGCTTCTCATAAGTTCAAAGTTAGAAATAAAAATATAATTACTATATTATGCTAGAATTAGAAATGATATAGAAATTAGATATTAGATAAAATGCTTATTGCATCTTTTAACAATATATTAGCCTTTTTAATTTGCTTTACGAAATCAATACCTTCTATTTAAGTTGCTTTATCTAAAGAATTAGTTTGTATTACTTTATTTGAGAAACTGCTATTCTCTACCTGCATTCTGGTATCCATACTATAAACAAAAAGCCTTCAACTTTTTGCCTATTCATAAACAATTAATTTATTATGTAAATATTACTCAATCTAATCACTTTTTTCTGTAATTTCTTCTGGTAAAACAGAATTATGCTTTATATTAAGTAATTGGTCAAAAGCTCTTTTGACTAGACTTAATGGTATTTTATCTATAATAGGCTTATAATCAGAATAGAAAATAAGTATTTCTACATATAAATTAATAATCTCTTTAATTTCTGCCATTTAGTAATAGATTTACTTTATTTATGTAATGTTCAAATATTTGAATATCTAATCAGTTTTTTGCAAAAAAGTCTGTAGGTTAATATGATAAGCGCAATAAATTTTATTTTGTGCTAGAAATGGATTAAACGCAGTAACCAAAATTTTACTATTTATTCCAATGCTATTACATACACCTTTACTATACATATATATAAAAATACTAATGTATGATAAAATAATGATCAAGATAAAAAAATTATATAATGAAATTTTTGAAAAAAAAATTATATAAAGTTTTGCTATTCATTTTCCATTTCCTTTATCATTTTGTTTAACTATTACTGAATCAGAAAAAGTCAGACCAGTTAAATCGACACTGATCTCAAAATCGCAAAATCTATTTTAGGACGTTCAAATTTAGTTAGTGAAGGATTATATGAGAAATCACGTACTTGGTCACTAATGAATCTCATATTTGTTAGTTCAGATTGACGTTCTAAAACAGGTAGTTTTCCATATATAACTTTTTCTTTTAGTTTTATTGGTTTAATACTTCTTCTCTATCTGTTAAGTGATTAATAGGCCATTGCACTCCCGTATCAGTAGAAGAAGTGAAAATATTATCCTTCTTATCCTTCTTTTTTAATGCTTCTTTTGAATCTTTTGCTGTTCTTTAAAATATTTCAAGAATGCTTTCTCTTCTTTTTTCTTATTATCATTGTTTGAGGGTGATTTGTCATCATATTGTTTGCCTAGAGCTCTGAACAGGTCGGTTCAGGTCAGGTCAATCAAGTTACCTGAACTGAGAGGATCAGGTCAGGTCAAACAAA